TAGGGCTCTATCTGAAGTGTGAGGAGTAAAAATTTGTTCCCATGATGTAGGCTCCCTATTTACCTCTCTTATTGTTTCTTTTGCTGAGAAAAAACTTTTTAGTTTAAGTAAGTCCCATTTGTTGATTCTAGATGTTAACTCTTGTACTATGGGCATAACACATCTTTAAAGTGCAGACAGAAGGCTTTGGAATGATGATGAGGATGACAAGGACAAGSTGAGGCCCTTTCATGTGGCAAGCATGCGTTACATGGTTTCATACACCCTTACTAATCTTCAAAATATCCCTAAAAGAAAGCTATCATTATCCTTGTTTCACAGATGAGAAAACCGAGACAACAAAAGGTTAGGTAATTTTCAGAAGGTCACACATCTGGAATGTGGCTTAGGTAGTATTAAAAAGCCTTTCTGTTTGCTCAAAAATTTGCGTCTTTTTTTTTTTTTTACTCTATGATCTTTTCAAAAGAATGATGATGATTTCAATTTAATTAGTAACTCCTTATTGAAAGTAGACAAATGGTGTTCACTAAGGAGCCCACATGTCCAGAACAAAGGCTGGCAGTCAGTCTTCTGTGAAAATCAGCTGAATGAATAGCACTATGACTTAGGCCCAGATATTAAGCCTGAGTATAAAAAGACCAATGGCATCAAAAGCCAACTGTGATTCTAATGAAGAGCACATTTGCTTCTTCTAGACAAGGATTATAATTTTAAATGCATCACACACTCATAAATTTAATTATGACTTTTGGTTTTATGGTTATCTACAAAAAATCCTCCAGAGCAGACTAATTCCTACAAGCCTTCGATGGAAGTTCAACAAAAGCAATGAAAATTCTAAGACACCTATTAACCTTCACGTTTAGTTCTGAGAGAGTACTTTTCGTCTCTGCTTTATGTGGGAGACTGTGTTACATCGTGGTTTTATGGAAAAACGATGACAGTCTTATAAATGTCTATTTATTCAAATGACCTCTGAAAAGCAGTCTTCAGGCAGCATGTAAGATCCAGCACAAAAGGAGGGCAGAACAGTACTTAATGCTCAAGTTAGAAATGTGAAATATACGGAAAGATTTATTATTAGTTTCCTCTTATAACCAGACAGAACAAGTCGCAAATTGTCTGAATATCCACAAGATGAATTTCAGCTCTAGTTTTGGCTTAGACCACAGAAAGTGTTTTAGTAGCTTTTTAACACCAAGACTTTCTTCCTGCTCCTCTCCCCAGCGCCCCCTCATTATTTGACTTTATTACTTCACTATGAAAAAAGTCAGATTTTACTAAAGATAAAACTTGTC